GTGAGGGGCTGCGGGGTGGGATGCGACTTTGGGCGTCCGAGCGGCTGTGGGTCGCCGTTGCCCCCGGCCCGGGGTCTGGAGAGCGGAGGTCCCCTCAGTGAGGGGAAGGAGGGGAGACCGGGCGCACCTGGTGACCCTGAGGTTCCGGCTCCTCCGCCCGGCGGCTGCGAACCCACTGCGGAGGAAGTTGGTTGAAATTGCTTTCCGCTGCCGGTGCTGGTACGAGGGTATTGTCACAGTAGCAGCAACATGTCGACAGGGGAGAGTTTTGAGACTCGGTTTGAAAAAATCGACAACCTGCTGCGGGATCCCAAATCGGAAGTGAATTCGGATTGTTTGCTGGTGAGTAACTCCACTTTTGCTCGTTTGGGGTTGTGCCTGTGTTGCCTTCCTCCTTTAGCGGCGAAAGAAAGTGTCAGGTGTGCATCATCATCTTGTGAAAAGCCAGATATCTGTTTCCCGAAGAATCTGGGGTACCACGAAAATCTCAATGGATAGGCATAGGAAATGGCTCTGTACTCACCACTGTCTGACCTTTTAGCTCTGACTCAGTTCATCAGTACACAGAAGTTACCACGTCAGAGTTATTCCTACTATAGAGGATGTTGAATGGGATGTTGGTCATGTTAATCTTCCTGATCGGTTGACAGTAAGTTTGGAGGCTGCTTTCCATTTACAGTACAGGGATTTAGCTCTTGGAGGTTTAGTTTTTAGACTTGGAAATTACAACGGAGAATCGATATTGAGGAAGTGATTTTTGAGCCAAAATGTCATAGGTGACTTGAGTCTGGAGAAACTTTTTGCTGAACTATTCATTGTACAAACCCAACGTAATTGACTGCCGGTCATCACAGTATTAACTTGTTTTACAGTATTATTGGTTACAAAAGTACCACACAGGTACAACTGCCGCCTTTGGTGGTGGTGTATTTATCATGGTCACTTTTAAAACATTCTAAAGACATTTTTGTGACATGAAAGTTGAAATCCTGTTTTAAAAATCATCCAGAGGTTGATAACATATAGTTATCAATTAATAATGAATGTTCGTAAATTTGATGTTTCTGATATAGTTGCAAACTCTAAACAAGTTTCTCCTTTTATGTTATAGAACAAATGAAAGTTATATAATTGTTTTATTCCTAACAGACCACATAATCTCTGAAATAAAGTTTTAGGAAGTATGTAGATGAATAGAATTTTTCAGTGCCTTCAGAGAATTAAGGTTAGATGTATAGTTTTTGAGATTAAGATTAAAGGAACAAAATAATGCCCTTCATATAAATAATATCATTTTAGAAACATCTTAAATCAGAGGGGAATTATGTAGATTCTTTAAAATTAGCATATATTAAGTTACTCAAAATACCTGTGTGTGGTTTTCAGTTTGTATGGTTTTATAAGGTTTCTTCCCAGAATTTTCAGAATTACTCATAATATCCTTGACATGAAATTAGAGAACTGTGAATTGTGTGTTTGAAGTGTCTCATCATTATTGATGCTCTTCATATTGAGAAATAGTAAACACACACACAATGTAATATCATTTAAACATCTTATTGAATAAAAATGGAAGGTATTACAATACATCTTTCTAGTAAGGCTTTCTATAATTTTTTAAAAATAATTATTTTATTTAACTTTATTTTTATTTGAGCAGAGAGAGTGAGAGCGAGAGAGGGAAAGTGAGAAAGCAAGCTGCCATGTCCGGGACTCGAACTGCAGTTGGCCATGTGGGAGTTCAGCGCTCTTAACTACTATGCCACCTGCCGGCCTCTCTCTGACTTCTAAGAAGTCTACTTTTTAAAAAGTACTTATCCAGTTTCTAAGTAACTTTGATTTTATTTTAATTTTTGATCTTATTTCATGAAGTAGTGTTACAGGGAGGATTGAGTAGCTTCTCCTCCTCCCCCTTATTAGTAATCTAGCCTTTTGCTATAGCTGTATTTGGTAGGAATCGCAACAGATATTTATTGAGATAAATATGCAAGGATGCAAGGAAATGTGTTAGGGACCCTTTCTTTGAGTCTAATCTGTTAAATTTAGGAAAACAAGACCTAATTTCACATACATCCATACACAGAAATAAAACAAAATAATTCACAGATTAAGAAAATATGTGATAAATTCCAATGATTGTTTAGGTAGTAACATTCTTGGAAATTTAAAGGAAGGGGTAACTGAGTTGAGAGAGACAAAGTATGCCTTATGGTGATGGATAGGATTAAAAAAGGGGATAGTGGAGAGTGGAGGATAACAGAGTGTAGAGACAGGATTGACTGTGTCATACGTAGGGAAACAAGAGGATAAAGTTGGAACGATAGATTGGAATTCAGTTGTGGAGGATTTGATCAGTAGGGCTAAGAAGATTAGATTGTCTTCAATATGTTGTGGCCGTTAAACATAAACAGAATTATGCCAAGATGAATGAAGATGATGACTCTGGTACTTGCATGCAAAATAGGGTTAGTTTAGAAAAAGACTAGGAATAGGATGAGATCGAGGAGTTTTAAAAATTTTCATAATTAAAAAAAATTTTCATAATTGTCCAGATATGGTAGAAACTTCAAATTGGGGCATGAGAATGAGGAAGGAAGAATTGATGGAAATTGATTGCCAGAGTTGGGAAGGAGAAGAGGGAGAAAATAGATGACTGTAGAGATGTTGAGCCCGGATTATAAGAAGAATGGTGAAAATAGCAAAGTCAGGTTTGGAAATTGCTTGGGAAGAATGGGCCAACAGATAAATTCAATTTTTAAATTGTGTTAAAGACAATAATGGGATAACTTTAGATGGGATGACAATCAAGAGATGACTTTAGACTGTTGGAGATATATGGAATTAAGCTCATAATGGCAGGTACCAATTTGGAAATTATTTGCACAGAGGTGCAAGTTTAATCTGTTGTAATGGTAAAGGGAGAAACCTTAGGGAACTGAGGATGAACAAAAGATCAAGAAAGTTAGTAGCCAAAGGCCTTCAGAGTTAGGACAGCCAGGTATGATGAAGCTGGAAGCTTCTAAAAGACCAATTCGAAAAAGAGAATAGTCATCAGACAGATTTGGGTGTCTTTTTCTTCCTTGTAATCTTAAAATCCTGTCAGGCATTTTTCCCCCCTTTTGTTTGTTTAATTCCACAACTGTTGATTGACAGCTGTTTTGTTTGTTTTTTTAATTGCCAGAGGGAGAGAGAGGGAGAGAGGGAGCAAGCCCACTACTCAATGGGGTGTGGGCACACCACAATCTTTTACCAGTTCTCTATCTAATCAGGATTTGCGGCATGTACACACAAGCACATGCACACACAAGCACCCGGTAATTTTTTTTTTTTTTTTTTTTTGCGAGGTTTTTGCTATAGGGCCCATGCGCTCACCAGACAGAAAGAGAGAGACAGAGAGACAGAAAGCGAGAAATCACCCCCCAGGGGGGATGGCCACACCACAATCCCTTCTCCTTCATTCTCCTCTCGGGATCTTGGGTACGCATGCCCACGCGCCCGGCGTGGGTTTAAGCCACCGGGTCTGGGACTCGAACTGCGGTCGACTGTCTGGGAGTCCAGTGACATAGCCATTACGCTAACTGCTGGCCCCACACCCGGTGTTTTTTCAAGTGCTGGGGGCCAGGGTTTGAATTATGTTTGGACGTGTGAGATCCAGTTCCCTATGTACAGAGTTTAGTCGTTATGCCACGGACCAACCCTGAGAGCTGTTATTTATGTTGAGTCACTGGGAAAGTAGTGATCCATTTTTGCGTAGAAAACCAGAAAAATACATTGTGACTTTCCTGAGGACCTAACAACACTTTATTACTGTGTCAATCTGAATTTGGTAAATATTGAATTTTTCTTTGGAGACAAAAATTCTTTTTTTCTGTTCTGTGGTGTCTAGTGGGACTTTCTTCTGCATGATACTTTATTTTTTATAATTGAGCATTCATTTACTCTTCCATTGTTAAAGACCTGTCAAGTCACTTCACTGTTTTCAAGGAGTCTGTTTTCACTCTTACCTGTCTGGATTTTACCTTGGACTTCTCAGCTATATTGGTTGCTTTTCTCTATTTTTTAATCTTCTGTTGATTTATTTAACCGATTCTTAAAACTACATTGAGTTTGTAGTATGTGCCATGTGCAACATTGTAATTCTAGGTTTTTTTCTTGGAATCTCAAATAATTTTACAATTATGTTTATTCTCTACTTCCTTCACTAGATCTATTCTTCAGAAATGAAGTTCCCCAAACTTTTTTGGGCCAGAATGGCTTGTTGGCAAATGTCTTTTTAAAAGCACTTTAAGCACAAAACATCTTTTTTTTGGAGATACTAATGATGAATATTAGTAGTTAAAAAATAACATAGCTGGAAGAACAGTGATAAGTGGCTATCCAGCTTTTTCTTAAACACTTGCAATTTATTTCAAGAATGAAGTAAGTTCATTCTTCATATTGTACATACTAAAATAGTTTGCAGATACTAAGATAAGATTGTGATAACCATTCACTTGTTTCCTAGATTATTGAAAATTATCAACCTTGGTTTTGTGTAAGTCAGATTCTTTCAGTGTCCTAATGGTTATCTTTCTTACATCTTGTAGTGATTATCAAGAACTATTTTTCTTTTTCTAACATACTTTAGAATCGTTTTATCTAGGGCTGTAACAATTTCTCAGTAATTTTGAGTACCTCTTCCAGATTAAAAAAAGTATGTATGATTTGTAACTTAAAAGGGCAAAAGAAAAGTGGTGGAAGGCTTATGGATATGTTTGTTGTGAAGTTTACCTTCATGAACCTTTCATGAAAATACAGTTATCTTGCTTGTAGCATTTTTATTAGCACACTGCTTTAAGATGTCAGTTACAGCATGACCTTTCTTTGTAGTGGAGATAAGAGCAGTGGTGGAAGGAATCAGGTCATGAATTTTCTGACAACCCAATAGTGCATGCTGATTTCTTTTTCTTTTTCTTTTTTTTTTTTTAAGAATTATTTTATTGGGACCAGCAGTTGGCATAATGGCTATGTCGCTGGACTCCCATGTAGCCGACCATGGTTCGAGTACTGGACTGGGTGGCTTAAACTCACACCCGGCGTGTGTGTGTGTGTGTGTGTGTGCATGCCCAAGATCCCGAGAGGAAAATGGAGAAGGGATTGCGACGTGGCCATCCCTCCTTGGGGGTGATTTCTTGCTTTCTATCTCTCTCTGTCTCTCCAGTGAGCACATATGCCCTATAGCAAAAATCTCTCCAAGAAATAAAAGAAAGAAACAAGATGAAAGACTAAAATAAAGATTTGGGTATCATGGGCACAGACAATAGTAAATTAAAGCCATAAGAATAAAATTCCCTCGGGGCCAG